GGGAAGAGGGGAAAGAGGGAGGAAAGAGATTTCTATCAAGGGGCTGAAATCTTCCTCTGAAAAGCTTTCAGCTGTACAGCGCACAGCTTGCCCCCGTTATCATCTGCCACTCTTTGGCAGTGCTGCCCTGCTGCCCTGGAACTTTCCTCACTCTCCCTCTTTCCCTCTCTTATCTGCAAGACCACCAAGACCGACTGACTGAAAGACTGAGAGACTGAGAAGAAAAGGGAGGGAGGGGAAAGACAGGGGAGAGGCTAAAAATGACATACTGCCTGGCGATATTAAAGATAAGTTCTCGAACCGAAAACAGAGATAAACAGGCTGTAAACATACCGATTTGTGCTTGCTGATTAAAGTGGGGGTCCGGGGAGGGATGAGAAGATAGAACACAGCTCAGCTCTTGAAGATAAGAAAGCTACTGATGTTGATGATCATCGTTAGATCATCACCATCATCCTCTCCTCATGGGACATTGGCTTGGGTCGATGAGTTGCCGCCAGGAACCGATCAGTGGCAATCTCGGTTGTGCAATATCTTTGCTCTGGTGAGTTGCACTTGAACGTGTCCTCGGACTTTTGAGAGGGGCTACTGTTGAAAAGATGCTGCTGTTGCTATTGCTGGCGCCGGTCAGATAAACACGGAACGAGGAAGTGCTCGATTGGGTGATCATCGGCGTCTGTATGGTGCTGACTACTGTTGTGGTGGTAATCGGTGAAATGAACGATGAATGAATGAAATGAAGCACTGAGAAGCGTTGAGAAAACGTTGGGCTGATGGTCAGACGTAAACATAAACAACTTCGGGAATTTCGAAGACTAGGAAGGAAGAAGGTGGTGGTGGCGAAAGAGGATGAAAGTGTTATTCTTTCCTCTTTTGGCCTTTGCCTTCTAATATCAAAGTTGTTGATCACAGCTTCGTCTTCTTCTTCAGGTCATGAGCCCCTCTCAAATCTACACACTACTACTTCGTACTGAGACTAAGACTTCGAGGTTACGTTATCATCTTCAGTACAACTTCTTCAGCAGTCCTTCATCTCACACGGACAGTTGCGGACATCCTCGTGGGCTGATGGTGAGGGCGAAGGTCTCGGTCTCGGTCGGTTTCCTTTGGTCACTGGTAATAAGCAGCAGACAATGGGGCAATCATCATCAAAAGGAGCAACAACAGCCAACGTCGTCGTCGTCGTCGTTGCACTTTTCTCTCTTGTCTCTTTCCTTTCTTTTGCTCTCTGTTTCTCTCTTCTCGTGGCCGCCGAGCAGTGTGATCGTCGTCGATGATTGTTTACAATTTGTTGCTGCCAGGCGGCTGGCGGCTGGTGATTGCATAACAGCCTCCACCAACGCCACAGGACAGCAGCAACAGCAGTAGTACAGCTCGGCCATTCAATGCGCCCTGCAATGGAATGGAATCGGTTAGAAAGAGTGGAAACACCAAAGGAATGAAGGAAAACAGCTGGGCGTCGAACCGGTTTCGGTGATGAGAAGGAGCAAGGGATAGAGAGAAAGAGAGAGAGAGAGTTGGTCAGTCAGTCGGTCATTCAGATCTGTACTTACTGCCTAAGGCGATTCGGGAAACGAACTCGGGAAATGATAACAAAATGCGAAGGCCAAAGAAGTAGAACCAGACAGAATTAATAAAATCGCCAAAAAAATAGAAACGTGTTGCGCTGAAAAAAAAGATAAACAAAACAAAACAGCGAAATTCTTCAGTGGGCGGAGCTTACAGAGCAGCGGCACTTTGCACAGTTGCCTTTGTTTTTTTCGCACTACAGAATCACTTTTTTTCCCGCCTCTGTCAACAGGTGTTTTTGTTTACAGTTTCGTTCTGTCGTACAAGTGTACAACAGAAAATTTTGACAGATTGACTTGATTTCTCCTTTTCTCTTTTCCACGATTTTCCACCTCTGACCTCTGAACTTTGCTCTCTGCTGTGGGACACGATGTACAGGATCTTGAAAAGAAAAGGAGGAAGATATAATGGGAGAAAAAGCCTCGAAGATGGTAGTGGTGGTTATCATTTCGAAAAGGCTGTCAACAACTTTCCTCATCACCATCATCACCATAATCATCTCACCGCCGGGGATTTTCCTCCTCTTCAGCCGTTTCGTGCCTTCTGATGCTATTCTGTTGTGGTCAAGCTGTGAACTGTTCGCTTTTGTTTGTTTTAGCCTGTTCACCCTTGAATCCCTTCCACTTGTTTTGCGCTTGATCAGCTTCAATACTTCTTCTTCTTCAAGTTCCCATCATTATCTTTGTTCGAAGCGATGTAGTGGTGGCGCCCACCACTTTTTTTGGCGCCCAACCTGTTCAGAAGCTCAGAAGCTCTGAAGCTGTTTCTGCTGCCATTGTGTTCACTGTCATCTTTTCTTCTTTTCTTCTTTCACTCGGTCATTATCGATTGGTGGTCTATTCTTCTTCAGCCGAAGCCAAAGTCGAAGCCGAAGCCGCCACCACCAATTGCTGACCATCATCTTCAGTTTTCAGTCTTCAAAAGCAGCAACAGCAGCAGCAGCTCGTTTTGGCCGTCTGTCAACAAAGCAACAGCAGCAGCAGCCGTCGAAGTTGAACTTAGTGTCCGAGTTCGAGACCGTCGCCACCAAGAGAGGTTACCAACCGGTTCTGCCACTTTTCCCTGTACTATTTACTTCTACTACTCGACGCCAACGGCTTGTCGTCTACCNCTCGTTTTGGCCGTCTGTCAACAAAGCAACAGCAGCAGCAGCCGTCGAAGTTGAACTTAGTGTCCGAGTTCGAGACCGTCGCCACCAAGAGAGGTTACCAACCGGTTCTGCCACTTTTCCCTGTACTATTTACTTCTACTACTCGACGCCAACGGCTTGTCGTCTACCACCGCCACCACCAAAAACGGCAACACTGTAACCTTCTTCTGCTGGTGCTGCTCAGGAGACGAAGCTTCTTCAAAACGGTCAAGTCCGTCGTCTGATGTCACTTCTTCTTCTTTTTCATCATCTTGTTTCTTGTCTCTTGTCGCCACCACTGCCGTTCGTTTGTGGCCTGATTTAGCATCAACAACATTTGACCTCCTGTAGAGGCTGATTACACTGACCGTCACAGCCGTGTTATCAGCAGCAGCAGCAGCAGCAGATGATGATGATGTGGACGATGTGATGTGACCAAGAAGAAGAAGAAGAAGAAGCCTAAGCATCAACTTTGAAACCTTTTCTCTTGAGACACAGAATTTGCGTGCTTGCAAAGCCGTGTTCAGTAGTGAAAACCCTGCATCAAAACTTTTGACAACCGCTTCAGCTCTTCAACTCAACTCAACTCCAACATCATAATCAGTACTTTCTCAAAAGGAAAAAACTTTTCCACGCCAGTAATCGGTAAGTAATCGGAAAAACTCCATATCTCCTTGAGAAAGGAGACGTCAGATTACCTCTACACAGCCGGTGACCCGACCTGTGACCTTTTTGTGTTCACTGAACCCTCTTCTCTCCCTAGGAAAGTCCCCGAACCGATACCACCACCACTTGTCATCTTCTGTTATCACCGCTCTGTTTGACTTTGAAATTATCATCATCAAATCGTCCTTTTTCACAGCTGACAACAATCCCAACAACAATGCCTTCAATTCTCAGCAAGATTCTCATGCCCGAGTGGAACGTCCCCTACAACTGCTACGAGCTGGGCCACACCTGGACACCGTAAGTGGACAATCTTTTACCAATCCTCACTCTCTTTTTAGAGTAATTAAACCACTCTTCAGATGGGCTGGAGTTTTAGAGTATTTTTTGTTGTAAATAATTTCCATTTTCTGATGAAAGACGAGTGAAAGAAAGATATGCTTGTGCGTGTCTGTGTTTTAAAATGAAAAGAAGAGTGTGTGTGTGGCTGAGTTTGAGAGTGAAAATACCTAATTACGGAAAGGAGGAAAGTGGTTAAGAAGGTGTGGTGAGAAGATCTGATTTGTAAGAGATATAAGAGATTAAGATTAAGAGAGAAGAATGATAAAGTGGAAGCGGAATCACAACGGAAGATGTGGGTGAGAGTGATTGGTGTGTGATAATAATAGCGAGGATAATAGGAGAGATAACAGCAACAGAATCAGAAAAAGGGGCAGAAAATAAAAAATAAAAAAGAGGTGTGAAAATGAGAGAGGTGAACAAAGTGGAAACACATCGGCAAAAGCATTCTGCTATTGCTATTGCTGGCTCATTCTTTTTTCGGTGGCGGCGGCGGCGATCACACTGTGTGTCGACTAGGCGAGTGAGTGAAAAGGACAGGTAGAAAAGGCGTATCACTGGTTTGGCAAAAGAGGAAGAAGTTCGTGCTCAATCAATCAATCTCCGGGCTGATGTCCATCTCATCGAAACGGTTTTCCTCTTCCCCATCCTCATCCTCATCCTCATCCTCATCCTCGTCGCCCTGCGAAGAGCTTCCGTGCGTGGCGTCGGTGGAGCTGGCGGCCGAGCCAGCACCATCTTCAGCACCTCCATCACCTCCTTCGCCAATTCTTTCACCACCACCACCACCACCATCACCACCACCAGCAATAGCAGCAGCGTCACCACCAGCAGCAACCGGGCGACGATTTTGGAGTTGTCGGGGGCGGCCGTTGAAGCGGAGAAGAGTGGAGGGATCGATGTACACCGTTCCATTGATCACCGGCAAATGTACAGCCTGCTCCTGCTCCTCTTCCTCCTCCTCCCCGTCACCATCCCCGTCATCTTCCTCGATGTCCTCTAAGGTAAGGACACGTCTCAACGATGGGTTGTCAAAGTTGAAAACGTGCCTATCATCACCATTGTTGACAGCATTGTTGTCTTCCCCATCGACATTGTCACCTTCACCCTCACCTTCACCCTCATCCTCATCTTCATCGTCTTCGGCATTCTCAAGGACGCGCGCCACCCTGGCGACCACTCTCATGATGGCGGGCAAGTTCATCGTAAAGTTTTCGTCATCGTCATCGTCGTCGTCATCATCGTCCTCATCCTCATCATCATCATCCGAGTCGGAGATCAGCGGGGGCGTCATGGCGCGGCGGCTGATGGCCATGCACTTGTACTGCTGCGCAAAGAGCTTCGCCTTCTCCGCCTCGGAGGCGGGCAGGCGCTGGGCGACGAGGACCTTCCCGGTCTCCACGCGACAGGTGGGACACTTGTGGGTGTTGCGATTGGCGACGGCGACGCGGCCCTCGCACCAGGTCAGCAGACAGTCGGAGCAGAAGACGTGGGCGCAGCCCTCGGTGAGGCCGAAGAGGCGGTCACCGGAGGAGCCGTCTGAGCCGCCACCGCCGCCGCTCACCGACTCCAAGCAGACGCAGCACTGGTCGTCGGCGTGAAGCGTATTTTCGCTAAGCTTTTCAGCCTCCTCTTTCTTTAGGCGCTTGGCCTCGGTGGATTCTTCGGCCTTGTGCTGTTCCTCGTCCGTGCCCCCAGCCGCCGGAGATCGTGGGGACGCCGCATTGATCGTGATACCGGAATGAGCCTTGCCTATCAACAGCTGTTTCTGCTGCTGCTGCTGCACCTGCTTCGCCACCTTCGCGTCGCCGGAGAGAATGTGAAAGGCCATCTTCTGGTGGAGCTGCTCCAGGTCGACCAGGTCCTCCATCGAGGGGTGGAAGCCCTCGGAGCAGCGTGGCAGCGCGTTGCTGTTGTTGGTGCTCGCAGAGATTGAGATATCACCACCACTATTGCCGCTGGAGACGGCGGCATTGCAACAGCCGTGGCTGAGGTAGGCGAAGCAGACGTACGGCGGCAGTTCACGAAGCTGAATCTGCTGCTGCTGATCAGCATTGCTGGTCATGTTGACCTGGTGCCCAAACGGACAGCCACTTCGATACTGCGAAGTCTTGAAGTGAACCAGGTAGCTGCAGCTCAGCTGGCCATTGTCTGAAAGAGAAGAGACAGAATGTTAGTCATGAAAAAAGATCCCAAAGTAGAAATCGAACCCTGAAAAGGACACTGAAAGTAGGCCAGCACGTGGCTCTCGGGAAATGTGGACACCATTGCTTGATTTCCGCTTCTTTTGTAGTTGTTGTTATTGTTGTGGTCGTCGCTGCTTTGTTTGGGGGCGAAAAGAGAGGGAGAGAAAAGCCAAAAGTTGTTGTGTTGTTAGAAAAAGAGAGTAAGAAAAGAGAGAAGAGATTGATTTCGACGCAAACGGTCCTGATGATGATTTGAAGATTAGATAGCTGTGATGGTGGTAGTGGTACAGCATCCAACAAAATGGAAGACAAAGTATTGCACACTTACCTCAGAAGTATAAATGTAATAAAAAAGAGATTAAGAGGAGGGAAGGAAAGATGCTGCTCTCTCGCTCGCTCGGTGTGTCGGAGATCTAACGACAAAACAAACAAACAGTGAGCACACTGTGCCAACTGTTGCGTAGAGAAAAAAGAAGGATCCGATGGAGCTTCAGAGGAACTCCAACAACAACCCTGAAACGCCCAATTACTCGGGCGAATTCTAAAGTCGATCTGCTGTTGATGTCTCCGTCCTCGTCTTCAAGAAATAATTGGTGGTGATGATTGAGAAGCGGCGTCTTTCGAGTTTGTTGACAATTTCTCCACTCGCTCTCTCACATTTCTCTCCTCTGCTCAGTTGCTGCTCTTCTCTTCTCTTCTCCGCGTTTGCTTGTCGTCGTCGTTTCTCGTCATCGCCGCTAGGGCGAGCATGTGTCGGCCGTGCCGTCGGTGCGTCATCGCAACGGAAAAAATGAGAGGGGATAAAATTGCAAAGTTGGGGAGTGAAGAAGGATGAAATAGGAAAAATCAAAAATGAGTATTTTGACTGACACTGCTGCTGATGGTGAAGAGGAGAAATTCATTAGCCTTGATTAGTCAATTGAATGTTTAATTGTAAAATGATTTAGAACACTAAATTTTAAATTAATTGCCATTCGGATTAGCACCATTAGCACCTTCACCAGCTTCTTCTGCGATAGCATCTTCATTACCTTCATTATTATTTTCATTGCCGAAGAAGAGGAGAATATTATCATTTCCTTCCCCTTCTTCTTCTTCTTCTTCTTCCTCGTGATCATCCTCGCTGGAATCGCTCGAATCATCATCGTCGTCCAGTCTGCCTGTGATACTAAAGCAGCGATACTGCAGCTCAAAAACTGTCGCCTTTTGCTCTGTGGAGTCAATCTTTGGCGCCGGCCAGACAACCAGTCGATTTGACTCTGCCCGACAGTACGGGCAGATTCTCTCCCTCAGTTCAGTTCTATTTTGAAACCAGGTGAGGATGCAGCTGGCACAGAAGGCGTGATCGCACTTCTCCAGCAAGCCAAAGGCTTCCACTGTGGTGAACTCGGTGTAGCAAATACTGCAGCAGTCAGGCTCTTCAGGGGGTGGCAGTACAGCTCCGTCAGGTTGATCATCGGCATTCGGGTCAAGGTTTTCTGGAGTGTCCGGCGTTTCTGACGTTTCTGACGTTTCTGGCGTTTCAGCAGTTTCAGCAGTTTCAGACGCTTCAGCAGTTGCTTCTACCGTGATTACCTCTGCTTCTGCTTCTGCCTCTTCTTCTGCCTCTTCCCTTGCCTCCACAAGGCGGTTGATAATCTGCTGCACCTCCTGCTCTCTTTGCTCCAGCTTAGAGTCAGCGTCCAGCACCTCGACGGCCAGCATCTCCTGAACTCGCCTTCCGTCCATCAGCTCGGCCGTCGTCAGGTGGAGGCCGTCCTTGCAGCGGGTCAAGCCACTGGCGGCGCCCACGGTGGCGTCACCGTGACACCGGCACAGGAGGTAGAGAACGCAGATATAGGAGGGCAGCTCAGTCGGCTCGATGCCGGTAGTGGTGATGGCGTTCAGTCGGTGGCCAAAGGGGCACATGCCGTCGAAGCGGGCGTAGAAGCTGCACAGTAGCTCCGGGTCGGCTTCAAAGGGACACTGGTAGTACTGCAGAAGATCAGATAGGTCGTTTTGGGCGGCAGTCGCTGCTGTTGTTGCTGCTTCCGGCTCGGTTACTGACTGTAGTAATATTGACTGCAACTGCAGTGATGATAGTATCAGTCGGTCAAATTCAAACTCGGGTACTTCTGGCTCTGGCTGTTCGGGTGTAGGTGAAGGTGGCGATGTTGAGGTGTGTTCTGCTGCTGGTTGAATGGGCGTTAAAGTGCTGGTAGTGTTTGTGACGTCAGTAGTGGTAGCTGTATCGCTGTTTGTATTTGCATTTTGACTAGAATTTGGGCTTGAACTAGTACTTGGAGTTACTGTTTCAGTAATACTAGGTCTTCTGCTCATTTTTTAGTTGTTGTTTTAATCAACTGTGCTAAATGCGCATTAGTGGTATATTTTGCTTTTATAAAGCTGCCTTTTGTACTTTAAATCGGCCATTTTTATTTAACCAAAGTGATTCTAAGAAAAGTTATTACATGTGTGCAACTAATGCATTTTGTGATAACAAATGTCAATTAAATGTTAATCAATCGGATTTTTTAGTATACTGCGACTTATTTTTTAGTAAAATTGATAAACAAAAAAGATGGAAATCACACATTAAAGTTACTCTTATTTTTGCAAATATTTTCAGTAGAAGATCATTATTTATTATTACAAACTTGCCTAATTAGTAGTAGTAAAGATAAGTGTTAGTTAACGGTTTTATTGAAATTAGTCAATCACACATCAGTCTCTTAGAGTTTGCCCAGCTGGTTTGCTGTCAATCAGCCGTCGTCGTCAGTCGCTCCATCATCTCCTGCAGATCATCTACCCGAACCCTTTGACCAGCAGAGGTGCCTGCACAGCGACTTTGCAACTCAAAAAGGGCAGTTTTATGCTCCGTAGACCACGACCTGGGAAGCTTTGGCCTTGACCAGAGAAGGACTCGAGTGAAGCCAACTCGGCAGTTCGGACAGCGATTTTGACTGTTCCGCCAGGTGAGGATGCATCCAGCGCAGAAGGCGTGATCACAGCGGTCCAGCAGGCCAAAGGCCGCCACTGAGGTGAAGTCCACTCGACAGATGCTGCAGCAGTCATCAGTAGTAGAGGTGGTAGAGGAGGACACATCAGCTGAGAGAGGAGAGGCTGAACTTCTCGCCGCTTCTAGGTCCTCATCGAAACTGTAGATGATCAACTCCACGTCTTGTTGGCGTTCTTTCTGTCGAGCGTCAGCGTCCAGCACCTCACTGGCGAGCATCTCCTGTAGCCGCCTGCTGTCCACCATGTCTGCCGCCGTCAAGTGCAGCCCATCAGTGCAGCGAACCAGGCCGCTGACGGGGCCCTCGGTAAGGGCGTTGATGCAGTCCTCCAGAAGGTGATTGACGCAGAAGTAGGACGGCAGCTCAGACAGGTCGATTCCAGTGGTGAAGGCCACCAGCCGGTGGCCAAACGGGCAGACACCGCCCTCAGTGTGAGTTTTGTAGTAGTCGCAGAGCAGCTCAGGTTCGGCCTCGAAAGGGCACTGGTAGTTTTGGAGGACGTCGACGAGGCTGGTTCGGATTTCTATGGTGGGGTTAAAAGTGGGCGTAGTTTCAGCTGTAGTAGGAGTACTTGTGGTAGTTGTCACAGTCGTGTTAGTAGTAGTAGTGTTTAAACTGCTCATTTTTAAAAATTTGTTGATTTTTTAGTTGTTTGCAAAAATGACGAAGCAAGCAGTGGCTGCTGCTTACATTTGGCAGCTGTTGTTTAGTAAAAAAAGAGGATTTGTTTATCAATAAGCTGAGCACTACTTTTTTTTATCTACACTTGATTCTAAGAATGCAGCTAGTGAAAGGCTAATAAGTATATGATAAACGCAAGCCATACATTGGCTACAATTAAAACTTGTCTTGCCTAAAGATATGAGTCTAGTTTTGTATTGAAACACATGATTTTAGTTATAAATGAGTTTTTGTTGATAAATTAGTTAAAATTAAAAATTGTTTTAGAAACATAGAGTGAGAGTGAACGCAAGCATACGTAGTTCAGACTGACTTTATTGGCAAAGAGTAGCTGCTTATATGCACAAACAGGCGACGTAACTTTGAACTCTCAAAGCCACGTCGCTAGCGGCCTATAGGCCGCTACTTTTTATTTAAAATAAAAGTATCATATTGTAAAATGTAGTTTGATTAGTACAATTTAGACAATAAAAAGTATTAACTATAGCTATTTATTTGTTTAATTTTCATCTGGTTGAAAGACACTATGCAGATAACGACTAAAATTGTTAGATCACTATTTTAAAGTTTTATTTAGTTTAACGATGTGTTTCTATTCTAAAGAGCCAATGCTATTTAAATTAATAATATTGATAATGTTTTTGTGTTTTGGTTGTTTTAAAACATGCTGTTATCTTTTTTAGTGCACTGCTGTAGTTTAGCGCATTCAAGTATTTCAAAAACGATTGCAACGGTTGTGTAGCTCAAAAACAGCCGATTTCTTTTCTGCTGACTCGATCTTTGATTCTGACCAAATGATCAGTCTTGTGGACTCAAGACGACAGCAAGGGCAAGTTTTTTCATTTGAGCCTTGATCATTTTGGGATTGATACCACATGAGAATGCAGTCAGCGCAAAAAGCGTGATCACAGTTTTCCAAAAGACCAAAAGTCTCAACTGAAGTATATTCAGTATGACAGATGCTGCAGCAATCAGGTTCTTCAATATTTGAAGATGTAATATTAGTTATAGTATCTAGTTGATCGGCATTTTCATGTTGGTTTAAAACTGGTGCTGGCTCTTTTAAAACTGTCTGATTTACTGTTTCTGTTTTTGTTTCGTCGTTTCTATGAGCCTGTTGCCGTTGTTGAGCGTCCATGTTTAGCACTTCACTTGCAAGCATTTCATACAGCCTTTTTTTGTCTACTAGCTGTGCTGAGGAC